CTTTAAGTGCTGTCACATTCCTAACCGTAATTGAGTTTAAAAGCAAACCTTTGAGATAGACTAGAATAATTATTTTTTCATTTTAATGGATGAAAGAGAACAAAGCAGAGTCAGGGTTCTTGAACTTTTTTGTGTTTGTTTCTATTTTATGACACTTTTGTGCATTTTTTTTATTCACACAAAACTTTTTTGGGGGCAAGTTTCCACTCAATACTTTTTTTTGTGGCGCTAGTGATTAAACCCAAGGCCTTAAACATGCTAGGAAAGTGCCCACTGAGGTGCACCCAGGCTGTGCTCTCAACACTTTCCCCGTGTTTTTATAAATCCCGTGATCCTAGTTCATCTTCCCATTTTACATTGTTTTCTTGTTCATTCTCCACATTGAGTGAAGATGTCCTGTCTCCCTAATCTTTGAAGTTTCTCTTTCCCACAGGAGAAGCTATATAAAATAATCCACATAGGAGAAGGGAGTAGAAGGCTAACGAAGTTATTAGAAGGTGAGAAACTGACAGAGAGAGGGAGGAAGGTTAAAAATTTCAGAAGGGAGATGAGGGATGATGGCTCAGGTAACAAACCCTGGTGACTTTCTGTCTTTTTAACTTTGTCTGTCCCGCTAAGTCAGAAACACTGCTGCCCTTCCAGAATTCCCCTTTGACTGAAGATCATCTTTTTCCTGAATCAACTTTTGCTTCAATCCAGTTATCGTAAGAGAAAACTGCACTCTCTTAGAAAAAAATATTAGAATATTTCCTTTAAAAGGAGAAATGAGTATTCCTTACCTATATGAAGGAAACTGTCTGATTTACAAAAGGGAACAAGGGGCTGGGAATTTAGCTCAGCAGCACAGCGCCTGCCTGGCAAGCACGAGGTCATGAGTTCGATTCCTGGTACCAGAAAAAAACCCCAAAAAACCAAAAAAAAGAAAAAGAAAAAAAAGAACAAAGTAAACAAATATAGAAAGAAACTAGGGGCAGCTCTCTCTATAGGCTGCATGAGTAATGTCCCAGAGAGATAAAAACTGATACTGTACTTCTGAAAGAAGAAAAATATTCTATAAAGACACATCTGAAGAAAAAAAGATATTCTTGAAAATTAAGAATGTAATATTAGAAAAATTTCCATAGATATATTAGAAGATAAAGTTGGAGAAATCTCTTGGAATATAATGTAAAAACATAAGTGATTGGTGACAGGAGAAAAAAAGAAGAAAATTAAAGGACAATTATGGAATATCCAGCATCCAAAAGGAGTTTGAAAAATGGAACCTTCAAAACAGAAACTAAAGTTATCTGATAGATGAGGCAGAGACACATTTCCCCCCGCGATTAAAAGGGTTTAACGAGTGCTTAGCATTCTGGAGGAAAAGTCTCCTTCCCATAATCATGTTTGAAAGGCCAACAAAGAAAATATTCAGAATCAAAATTGTACCATACTTTTAATAATAGGTGCAAAAACTAGGATCTAGGAGCTCCAGTGGTACAACTGGTTAGCGTGCACAGAACTTACATAAAAACTAGAATCAAGCAGAGTAAGGCCATCATAATTATTGTCAAGCTAGAATTCTTCACTCAGCCAAACTATCAAGTTTGAGGACAGGATAAGCTGCTTTAGGCATAGTTAATCTCAAAGAATTTATCCTCCATACACGTTTTCTCAGTCATCTTCTGGAAGATGTGCTGAACCAGAAGAAGGAAAGTAAATTAATAAAGAAGAAGATCTGGAGTACAGAAAACAAGGAACCCAACACAAAAGTGAAGAAAATTATGTTCCTTGGGATGGCAGGAAAAGATAAACTCAGGGACAATATAAATTTAGAAAGTGTAGAAACCAACTTGTTAATAATAGCAGATTAGAAGGCCACAGAAATGATTCTTCAAGATGCTAAAGTTATTAAACAAGAGGATGAGAGAAGACAGGAAGAGAAAGCATAAGGGTGGGTGAGGTGGGGCGTGAGTGTGATCAAAGTGTCTTATGTAAGTTGAAATGCCCCTGAAATCCTGTGAAAATGGGGCAGAGTGTGGCAGGGGGTGGTGATGGGGAAATGATTAAAGTATGTTAGGTACAAGTAAAAATTCGCTGAAATGAAACCCATGAATCTGTAGAATTAGTATGCATGATGAAAAATGTAGGAAAAATAAGCTAAACTTGAAAAGAAATCGCATGGTATGTTGAATGTACTAAAATAAGATTTATATGGAAGGAGATGAGAATTTGGTTGGATGAGTCATATGTGCACAAAGCATTAAACCACGAGGATCATTTTGATTACCGGGTTTTAGGTCATAGGGAAGCTGAAGCAGAAAAGATATCACATTTCACTACTGGTCTTAGCTTTGACAAGCACGTGCATTGTCCTAATGTTAACAAGAAACAGGTAACTAAAGAAAGTCATGTACAACTACCTTGAAAATATAAAGGACTGCAAAGTGTGCGCATGTGCACATGTGTGGGTGTGTGTGTGAGGCAAGGTTAGGGTGAGACAGGTGTAGAAGTGTGGTGTGTGAAAATGAGCCTAACTCCTAGCCTTCATTATGGGATGTCCATCGGTAATGTCAAACCCGAAAAATAGCAATATAACCACATTGCATATTCCTTTAAGTTATAAAATAGTTAAAGTAGTTGAATTGAAATGTATTGCTTCTGCAGATCAGTGAGTGGGAAAATGATGGATGACAGCTTCTTATTTTGTAATTTTTTATAGAGTCCTTAAAATACATATTTATTACCTTGATAAAAGTAAACTGGGATAAAAAACAAAATTATATCTATCCAGAAAATGTAGTTATAAAAAAGCATTTCTTTGTTACCAAGCTAAGTTACATGCACATTATCTAAAAACCCAACTTGGAAAATATTACTATTGCCGGCCGTGGCGATGCACCTGTAATCCCAGCCCTCAGGAGGCTGAGGCAGGAGGATCATTGCAAGTTCGAGACCAGCCTGGGCTACAAAGTGAGCTCAAGGCCAGACTGAACTCCATAGCGAGACCCTGTCTCAAAAAAAGACAGACAAAAACAAAAACAAAAACAAAATCAAAACAAAAATTAAAAAAAGGAAACATTACTATCATATATTTGGCTATTGGCCCTTCATTTCCCTTTTTAAATTTACACAAAACATTAGTTTAGATCTAAAACATTAGTGAAGATCTTTGCTAGCTATGGAAATCACAGGTGGCTGAAAATCTATGAAAAGTATCTGGGAATATGGGAGCATACTCATGAAATCCCTTGGAGAATTATAATCTGTGAGTTTATGAAATGTTAAGTTTTTTTCTCTTGATGGCATCGCTGCCACTGACAGCATTGCCTGGAAATTTGGCATCGAGGTGGCTAACACCTAGAAGGAGGAACGATTAGGTTCTCTAGCCCTGGCAGCACTGCAGGAGAAGATGGTTTAGGAGGGCTTTGGATGCCATTTGGCCTCTTCAAACATGAAATATGTGACAGTCTTTTTTTATTTTAAAGAGAAAAAAAAAAAAACCCAATAAAATAACAACACCCAAGACAAAAACAAACAGTATAAAAACAGTAAAAAATGATACAGGATTTCAAAACAAGATGCTAGGAATTAACAATGGTTATATTACATATTGTTGTCGTCAACAGAGTTGCTCAGATTACCAGATGTAAGAATGCATGATTGCAGGGGCTGGGGATTTAGTTCAGCGGCAAAGCGCCTGCCTGGCAAGCGCAAGGTCGTGAGTTCAGTTCCCGGTACCGGAGAAAAACCAAAAAAAAAAAAAAAGAATACATGATTGCTCAAACCATTAATGAGAATAAAAAGCAATAAAAATATTAGAAGAGGCGTGGCATACGGAATATTTATAAAGAGAAAAAACAACATTCATTTGTCATACTTTCGTCCTTCTTAACGGCCTCCTCTATCACCTGATCCTCCCTCATTTCTTTCTGCAAGAACTTGTCCTACTCTGGATTTCCACTTAGTGATAAGATTTGAACCTTAATTTGAATTAAAGATTTTTTAAACTCAGAAAAGATATGAATCAGTAGGGGATAAAGAAAGATATGAATCAGTAGGGGATAAAGTCCCCATTGCAGCATTCTGATCAGAGGAGAAGCCCTTGAATTTGTTATCACACATTGATGGCCTACCCTAGGGCAGCCAACTGTTTGACCACTGCCTCCATCACAGGGGTGTTCCTTCCCACCTGGCGTCTTGATTACTTTTTCTTTGCAAGTCTGTAGTGACTTTTAGGATGACAGATCTCAAGCTTTAATCGTCCCTGTTCACGCGACCTCTTTCTCGGCTCTGGTCGTTGTGCTGGGGAAAGCACTGCATTTACCTGTAAACCATGTCTCACCATTCCAGAACACACTCTCCCCCGGCTCCTACTCATCCTTCTGCGCCCTCCATGCCATTTCCTCTCAGAAGCCGGGTTAGATGCCTCCGCTAGAGGCTCACGTGACAGCGAACGAGCTGATAACAGGGAAGTGTGTTAACTGACCCTTTCTCTCTTTAGACTATAAGAGTTGAGGGGATGAAGAATACCAATATTTTTACCATTTATTTTCCTAGGCCTAATAAAGTGCCTGAACAAATATGGTGGGGTGAGGGGGCGGGACTCAAGAAATGTGACTAGTGAATTTGCTGTCTTCTCTGCTTTTTAAAAATAACTGCACACCCTCATATTGGTGCCCGAGCACGCATAAGAGGCTTAGCATTTTCTAAGTCTATACCGTGTGTAGTTGAGAAGAACATGTTAACCTCTCTGTGAATGGTTTGGAAAAAGTGCGGCAACTGCCATTGTACACCCCACATTTCGAATGTTAAAGTCTGTAAACTGCTTAGCTTTCTTCCAGGAGAGTTCTTAGAATCCACTATCACATAAATGCATCCTCACTTTCCAATATAGAAAGTCGAGAGATGGTGAGACAGTACCTAACATGCTGAGGAGTACATTAGGTAAATGGCAGGTCATTCTGGCGCACTGAAATGCTGCTAATACAGTTTGTTCACGATCTTTCTGTTTATTGCAGCCGGGGCACCGACAACAGACTAACTCACCGGCGGCAGACAGTTCTTCGTGAGAAGGGGAGAAGATTAGCTAATCGAGGGCCAGCATACATGTTTAATGATCACGCAACGAGCCTCTCCATCGAGGAAGAACGCTTTTTAGATGCAGCTGAATATGGCAACATCCCGGTGGTGCGGAAAATGTTAGAAGAATGCGTCTCCCTCAATGTGAACTGTGTGGATTACATGGGCCAGAACGCCCTGCAACTGGCAGTGGCCAACGAGCACCTGGAAATTACAGAGCTTCTCCTCAAGAAAGAAAACCTTTCTCGGGTTGGGGATGCGTTGCTTCTCGCTATTAGTAAAGGTTATGTCCGGATTGTGGAAGCAATTCTCAGTCACCCAGCTTTCGCTGAAGGTAAAAGGTTAGCCACAAGCCCGAGCCAGTCGGAACTCCAGCAGGATGATTTCTACGCCTATGATGAGGATGGGACCCGGTTCTCTCACGATGTGACTCCGGTCATTCTGGCTGCCCACTGCCAAGAATATGAAATTGTTCACACTCTGCTGCGGAAGGGTGCACGGATTGAACGGCCTCACGATTATTTCTGCAAGTGCGGTGAATGTAACCAGAAACAAAAGCACGACTCCTTCAGTCACTCCAGGTCTCGGATTAATGCCTACAAGGGCCTGGCAAGTCCAGCTTACCTCTCACTGTCTAGTGAAGATCCCGTCATGACAGCGTTAGAACTTAGCAATGAGTTGGCTGTGCTGGCCAACATCGAGAAAGAATTCAAGGTAGGTCACTAGCACTAGGGACTTCACCCTCCACAAACCAGAGTCCAGTTGTTTACAACTTCCGTGAGCTGCAATTACTGGGGATACTTGGTGATTTCATGTTTTATCCAATAAGCTTCTTATAATTACAGTACTAATTAATGGTTGATGGTTGTCATTTAGTGATTATCTACCAGACAGTGTTCATTTATTATGACTGGTCCTTATTACAGCCTTGAGGAAATATTAGTTTTTGTTCAGATGGAGAAATGGAAACACGAGAAGGTTAAGTAAAGCTCAAGTTCAACAGTTCCTAAATGATTCAGCTGGGATCAGAATGCAGGTATGCTGTACTCAAAGACACAGGCTCTTCCTCTTATAAAACATGGCTCTATATTCATATCACAGTGGTAAATGTTGTTGAGATCAGGAGGACAGATATCCTAAGGGAGTCACAGTTTGAACTGAAAGACAAATGCATGCGTGAATACATACGGTATAACGTGAGATGAAACCACTAGGTAGAGCTGTCAGCAATGCGCTATAGAAATTCAAGAAAGTAGTGTATGATAGGATTCAGCAAATTCACATGTGAGTTGGCATTTCAGCTGTAATATGACTAAATGAACAGAATTTTGGAAGGCAGAGAATGAGGGAAAATCGATTTTATAAGATGCAATAACAGCAAAGGCAAAGACTTACAGATATAAGTACTTTACTCATACCTTAAAGCATTATAGAGAACCTGGAATTCTCTTAATAAAATGCATCTAGAGATAAGTGGAGTTAGGTGCTGCTATTGTCCATTCGGTCTGTGCTGCTTTTGGAGAGGATGGGCACTTAGATTTCTAGCTGAAGAGCATCCCCACGAACACTGCTGAACTCCTGCATGGGCTGTCTGACCTGTCTTGGGGTGCTCGCCATGCCCTGCAATTGTTGTTTTTTACGATGCACCCTTCTCTTTCAGTGTACTATTTGTGACTTGGAATCATGTCTGGTTTATCAAGTACAGTATTTAACAAAGTAAACAACGATCTGATTTTTCTCTCTTCTCTATGCTATGAGACGTTTGTCTCTATATTCCAGGCCTTGGGAGATTGCAGTTTAAATCTCTCCTGGGCAGTTTTGTGGTACGATTTTGATTGAAAAAATGATATTGTGCCCCGCCCCCAGGATGTTGTGAGTCCATCCGTCCTGGGGTTCTATTTCTCAGGGAAAGGAGAAGAAAGCGACTGGTTCCCGAAAGCCGCAGTAGGTGTTTGTTTCCCAGGATGGAGGCTGCCTGGCAGCCGGGAATGCCAGAGAAACAATTGGTCCTTTCCAATCTCCTCTCAGATTCTTTCCTACTTTTCTCAAGACTCCTAGGACTTAGTGATTCAGAGAACTAACTTTAGAGGTTCAAATTAATGCAGTTTTTTGATATCTGATTCATTGTTTTTGTAATTTATATTTAGCTTTTATGTGATTTCACTGCTTAGATTTCAACTTTTTGGTTCCGTTACTGTGTCGTTCTTGTTACCCAGTTCTCTGACCACCAAAGACCATCCCATCCTTTACTTGTTTCGTTCACCTGCTTGTCTACGTCTTTCCGCCCTTGAGTCCATGAGGATGGAGAGGTGGAACACAGCACAAAGGCTGTTCAGTCCGCAGTCCTGCCCTGGGTTAGTTTATGATGTCATGGGAGGGAGAAGGTGGGTGTAGTAACCACACTGCGGAGCGTGGCCTCAGCGAGCGAGGAGAGCGCAGTGGTGTGTTATGCGTAGATCTGGAGCACCCCTGAAGGCCTCGTGTGTTTATAAGGTAGTTGGGTCACGGGGCCCTGTACTCATAGTGGATTAACATAGCTGAGTGTGCTTTAAATAGGGTCTGGATGGAAGAGGCGGGTCGCGGGGGCCTGACCTGCCCCACTTCCTTCTCTCTCCTCTTCCTGCCCGCCATGATGTGAGCAGCCTTTCTCTGCTAGGTCCCTCTGCCATGCTACCTCTGCCTTGGAGCCAGGCGACCACTGAAACCCTGAGCCAACACTAACCTGTCCCCCTTTCAACTGTGGGTGTCAGGTCCGTACCTCAGTGATGAGGAAAAGGAGGAAGCACCACATTTGACCGAGGTGTGAACTACTCATTGTCCCCAGCTGCACTGCAACGTGTGGTGGACCCCGTGGGCTATGAGTATTTAGAGATCTGGACACTCCCTTGTCTGTTCACCACACAGTTCCCTTACAGCGGTGCAGTACATATGGCTCAGCACTTTTGCTCCCTTTGTGCTTGCTGTGTTAGTCTTACCCTCTTTAGTGAGAGGTCTCTCTGACAGTGTAAGGGCAAAAGCATCCCTCTGAAAACCTAAAGCTCTTTAGCTGTGTGTTATTCTCAATGTCTTTAAAAAATCCGTTTCAAAATTTAAGTTTGTTTACTGTTAATAGAGGATAACGGTTTAAAGGATGTTTTAAAAAGAAGACCTGGAACTTGACAGTCAGCACTTTTTCTGATAAGAAGCCCTATTCAAAAGGTCCTGATCTTGCACAAAGAGAAAAGGGTAGTTCTTGGCTTTATTTTTTAAATTTTGTTACTATTATTTTTATTAGTACCTATTTGCAGTACATAATGGTTACATTTATTGTAGAGGAATTGGCTTTTTATAGTTTTAAAGCCTTTGACAAATGCAAAACAACAAAGCACATTTTTTATTTGCCAGCTACTAAGCTTTAAAATAGATATTATATTCTCTAAAACTAGTTTGGGGAACAGAGGTGAGAACGTTCTCAGAGGAAGGTGAGAGGGCTGGGGATTTAGCTCAGCAGCACAGCACCTGCCTGGCAAGCGCAAGGTCGTCAGTTCGATTCCCGGTACCGGAAAAACAAAAAAACAAAAAAGAAGAAGAAGGTGAGCTGCCGTGAGTTTCTGTGTCAGCTCTTAGGGAAGCCACGTTCTTCCACTACCCATGGCTGCTGTGACATTAAATGTGTTCCCAGGAGCCCAGGCTCTGTTTACAGAAGGATGTAGCTTGACAGGGCTGGAGAAGCTAATGTCTCTGAGGTGAGATTTCCTGCTAGGTCTGCAGCTTCTACTCTTCAAAAATAAATTCTTTTGAAACAATATATAGCCTTGTTGAAAGCTAGCAATATAAGAATGAAGAAAAAATTTTTAAAAATCATTGCTAATTTTGCTACAGGGAAATAAATGCTGCTTTACTACACATATGCTGCTGTCTTTTTTTTTCCTTTTTAAGTAGATCAGCTGCTAGGAATTGTAGGAAATGAGAGTTCTTAGAGGGTTGGCCAGCTAGACCTGGCAGGCTTCACAGGGACCTGAGAGATTGTGGCTGCTGCAGGGTATCTTCTCACCTATGTTCTTCAAATTCTTTTGTTTCCTTTCCACCTCAAGGACACCTGAAAAATTCTGTGCCATTTTAAAATTGATATCTATTTTTTGTTTTGTAAGTTTAAAGCAAGATTTCTGCATGGTGTGCACATTGCCATTTAGACATAGAACTCTTAAATTGCTCCTTCACATGCATACAGAGGGTTCAGGATGCTGTAATGATTTGATGGCCCCCATGAGCTATTTTAAGGATAACCGAATGACCTCTTCTTTAATATTCAAAGTGGCCGCATTGTCTCTTTTACTTCTTGAACTTTTATTTCTACTTCAATTTCCTCTATAAGTGTGAGGCTTAATGTAATAGCTTCTTATTATAAAGTCTTTATAGCCATCTATATAATTTAAATTGTATATCTGTATAAGTAAAAGCACACATATAGAATGCATATGTGTATATGAAATTTTAGAATTTATTTCCTGGGATTAAAGAGTTCTAAGTATTAAAAATATTCTGAAAAGAGTTACTGTTAAACATATTATTAGCAGACTTGATCAACACTACATAAATTGTATCCAATTGTTCAAAATAACAAGTATAAGCCAATTTTGAAAAGGAAATTTTAGCACCATAAAATAAAATTCTTACTGGGAATGCATCTTTAGGATTATTAACCATGTTGTCACTTTTGCAGTGTATTTGATGGAAGAAAAAAAAATATATATATCTTAAAACTACTTGTTAATAGAATGTGGAAATTGTTGAAGATTTTATGAAATATAATTAGGGATTGATTGAAGGAATAAACATTTCTTGACATAACTTAAGAACTACTAATGCATTAAATCTGAAAGAAATCACAGAAAAGTACTATTCAGGGGTTTTAACAAACATTCTGTGAAAACTTAGAGTCCTGGAAATCATTTCAAGTCAAACTGGAGAGTTGTCCTCAGTAACATTGTATGTCTTGCTCATTTGGGGTGCTTTTCTTTTCTAATTAGTACTTTCTCCAAAAGATGAGTATTAAGAATAGTTTAAAAAAAATGGGGGCTGGGGATTTAGTGGCAGAACACCTGCCTGGCAAGTGCAAGGTTGTGAGTTCAATTCTCGGTACCAGAAAAAAACAAACAAACAAAAAATAGTTTTAAAAAATCACATACATTTACATACATGAAAATCAATTTTTGTCTACACTAGTGCCCCCCTACCTGCAGGAGGTATGTTTTGAGGGCCTCTGTGGATGCCTGAATTCATGAACAGCACTGAAGTCTATGTATATATACTATTTTTCTTATGCATACTTTCATATTTAATGCTGTTACCATTTTTTGTATACATACCTTCACGTATTCAGTGCTGTTCTTCACTAAATACTTATTGTCCTTTTTTGAAATTTGAGATATAACAACATAACTAATACTAATGTTTCTTCTTCTACTCCTCCTCTTCCTCTTTCTTCTTCTCCTCCTCCTCCTCTTTCTTCTTCTTCTTGCTTCTTCTTCTTCTTCTTCTTCTTCTTCTTCTTCTTCTTCTTCTTCTTCTTCTTCTTTTCTTCTTCTTCTTCTTCTCTTTCTTCTTTCTTCTCCTCCTCCTTTTTCTTTCTTCTTCCTTCCTTCTTCCTTCTCCTTCTCCTTCTCTTTCTCCTTCTCCTCCTTCTTCTTCTCCTCCTTCTCCTCCTTCTCCTTCTCCTCCTTCTTCTCCTCCTT